GGTAGCCACCCAGAAGCCCTCTTATGACAGCCCGAATATAGGAATGTGTTTTTATTCTCAGTTTATTTATTTTACTCAAAATATGTTTAATTTGATGATCATATAATAATGTTAAAGAATAAAATTAATATAATCTCTCATATTGGTGAAATATTATCAGAGTAACTAATATTTTATATATATAAAAAATATAAATATCAGTTACCCTAATAGTAATAATACAATATTCCTAAGTACTGAATTTGGTAATTTCTAATTTTAGGAAATGTCATCAGATGACCATACGTTTCCATCGCCACCAATGTCAGTTCAGCCAAGCAGAAAAAATAAAACGTCGATGTTAAGTCTATCGTCGGCGCACAGGTAGCGTCCAACGGCCTATCGATACCTGGTAAACACTTTTCGAAACTCGAAAAATTTTGTTTCGATTTTAAACCATCAGTATCGATAGCTATATTATATTATTATAATAATTATGTTTTAAAACTCAATTTTAAATTTTTTTAAATTAATTATTTTATTATTACCTTTTTTGTTAGTATTTAAGATTTGTATAATTATGTTGTTTTCAACTTTTCTCAAGACATTCTTGCCTCAAAATTTTCTTATCCTATACTTCATTGTCAACAATCGTTCATTTCATAAATTCCATTTCTACAAAATTAAATGTTTACCATACATGTTTACTTGGTTTTATACTGAGTATATTAAAGTTACCATGGTATATACTTTTGTAGTCATAATTTATACATATACATAAATTATATGTAGACAATTTTTATTTTTTAAATCATGGAACAATTAGACATAACATTTAAAACGGTGCTCAAATATTTGATCATAAACTACCTTAAGCTCAAACAATAATTTTGTATGTATACTATGTGTGTGTTAGGAATTATATATTTTTATATATTTTTAAATTTATTGTGTAAGTGTAAATATGACGAATCAGTTTTGTGATTAATTAGAAAAATGTATGAAATCAAAATTAAAATAACTTGATGTATGAATTACATTTTATGTGTAAAATAATAATATAAATATTAAATATATTATTATGTAGAATTCAATTATTGTATTATTGTTATCAATTTATTGTTGAACCCTCCTTGTCTTACTTCCTTTATTAAAAGCTCATATTTAAATTTAAAAAAAAAGTTATATCATATTGTTAAGGGGGTTGGAGCCGTTGCGTTTTTTGGTAGAAAAACATGTCTTACAGGAAAAACTCTCACGCCCTGTAGCAATGCATTTGAAAAATGTACGTTATTTGTCCTTTTTCAAACGTATTTTTCTACTACTATTTAAAGTAAAATATTCGAGCTTTGATCCGATGTGCAGAAACTTCTCATCTTTCAGATAAAAAAAATTGACCAATATCCTATATATCAACGAGGCATGAGATTTTTTTCTGTGAAACCATTTTTGTTCATCAAAATAGTGCTTCGATAATAGTCATCGAAGTCTAGAGCTGACTTGTGCACACGAACATATTATCTTTATCAGCGCGTGCACTCACACTAATATCGATTTACATACTCACACACATGCACATTCCGCCGATACAACATGTGAATTGAAATGCCTAAATTTTACTCCTTAATAAATGACCGGCACCGACACCCTTAAATGGAAAATATTGGTTAATTTTTGTAAATGCCTACCTAAGGTTTTCAGAACGGAATGGGCCACAGTGGTCAGCCATTGATGAGAAACATTTCAAATTGATATTTAATGAGCTATTATACTCTGTTCAGATTAAGATTGAACCTCCCGCTCGACCAAAACACTGTTTTTTCGCTCATTCCGGACACCTGTGGGAGCGTATGCACCGGCGCCGACGATCGATGACTGTCGGATGATCACAGAACGCATAGCCAACGCAACCTGAGCTGAGTATAGTTTTATACATAATATGTTATGCAGTAATGATTTATGATTATTATTTATTGTTCGTGATGTATTTTGTTGCTAAATATCGTATGATCTGGAATATTTTAAGAACCTATAAGTAAAGTGAAAAAGTGGGTATCGCTCACCTGTACAGTAGGTGTCGAAGTAGGTCACTGTAATGTGTGTGTTAAATTTGAATTCAATAATAAAATATTTCAAACGAAAAACGGTTCTGAGCAGAGATAGTCTTTCAGCCTAATTCAATTATACAGTACCTATGTAAATAAATTAGAAATTCAATAGCTATAAAAATAATACAGCTACTGACTCTCCTATTAATCTATACCTACTGTATAAATAATAAATTGTTTGATACAAAAATACCCTGTACCGGGCTATACTTATCGTAGACATTCTGTTACATCGAAAAATCGGAAGTTTGGTTTTCAATTTATAAATGGTGTAAGCACATGTCTATCTAATTTGTTCAAGTATATAAATATATATTATATAGTGGCGTATACATACATTTTGTATGGGGGGAGGGGGGATCAGAAAAATTAAACCCTGCACATTAAAAGAATAAATAACAAAAAAGGTGGGCAAGTGGGTGTCGCTCTGCTGTACAGTAGGTTACAAGTGGGTCACTGTATAATGGATGGTATTAAATTTGAATTCAATGATATAATATCATTGTATAAGAAAAACGATTCTGAGCGGTGACGGTATGTCAGTCTATGTATCAGACATATTATATACATATTTATGGTATTAAACAATAATTGACCTATAATAAATTCCAAATTAATCATATCACAATATCCATTAGATACTTATAACGCGTTATACATCAACAAAAACCGTGATACTATCATAGATATATAATAGTACACTTTAGAAGTTTCAAGTACCTACGAATAATATTATTCAATCACAACAAAATAACTAAAATAGTTATTCTAGGTTTTTTAATATGTAATTTCGTCCAAATTTGAATTTAAAATGTCTGTAAAAAATAAGTGTGTTCATATATTTTTTAGATTTTTTGGTTACAGTATGAACTATTTACGAGAACCTTTGTGTTGAATTTGCAATCCTTAGCTATAAAAACTGAACATTTTATAATTTATTAATTACAATGATTGATAATTTTCGAGATTTTGATAAATTTTGTCAAAATTTGATCTTTAAATGCTTATAAAAAAAAACTGTGCCTATGTATTTTTAATATTTTTCAACTGCTATTGTAACAATATATCAGGAGCCTTGTATTAAATTTTTACACTTTTTGGCCCAACAGATAAAACTTTATTGATATTTATAGAAAAAAAAACTAAAAAAAATTGAAATCTGTAAATGTCCATAAACAGCTCAAAAAGAGTCAAAATATTTTCAAAATTGTATGGTGTATAGAAAATGCTAATTTAAACATTGAGTGAAATTTTCATGTATCTACAGTTGTTCGTTTTTGAATTGCAACAAAATAAGGAAATCGCTACAGTAATCGAGTGAATATCCAATGTTGTAAAAATTTGAATTTCAAACGCTCATAAAAATTTAACTTGACTGTCCGGTAGAGATTTTTTTATTGATAAAGGTAGATAATCTTATAAGGAATCTTGTGTTTCATTTTCAAATCTTAGATTTAAAAAGAAAAATTTTTACGAATTCTTAACTCAAAATAATTTGCTAATTTTCGTGATTTTTCCATATTTTGTAAATTTTTGAACTTTAAATGCTTATAAAAAAAAATTGTGACTAAGGATTTTTAATATTTTTCATCTGCCTTTGAAACAACATATTAGGAGCCTTCTATTAAATTTTCAAGCTTTCGCAACCAACAAATAAAATTTTATTGATATTTCTAGAAAAAAAACTAAAAAAAAATGAAAAATGAAAATGTCCCTAAACAGTTCAAAATAAATCAAAATATTTTGAAAATGTTATCGTGTATAGAAAATGCAAATATAAACAACCAGTGAAAATTTCATGTATCTACGGTCATTTGTTTTAAAGTTACACCACAAACCAAATTCGATTTTTTGGAAAATCGATTTTGCGTAAAAATTCCCGTTTTTCCTTAATTTTTATGTTGTTTTTCCCGGCGCTTGTGAAAACTACTGGAAAATGTTTACTTTTGACCCCCCAAAGTACCAACCAGATTCACTTTCCTATCAGAAAAGGTACAATTGAAGAAAATCGAAGCACTTTTACTGTCCCAAAACGTGATGACAGACACAAAAAAAAATATAAAAATATAAAAATATAAAAACACACATCATTGTTAAACCAATACATTCATCGCTCCGCTCAGAATCTAAAATAGGTAATATATAATTAGGTTCAATAGCTTGTCTAAAAATATTTAAATTTGAGTTTAAATAATTTAAGTACAAACTTAGTATTATTAGGTAGGTACTATACCTATACTATATTCATAATATACCTAGAATATTAGATTTTAGATTATTACATGGATTCTGAATTTGGAGCATATCGAGAAAAAATAATTTTTGTAATAAAACTTTTTTTGGCCTACCTACCTATAGTTGTTAGCATACCTACCTACCTTTTAAAAAGTTGAAATGAATTAAAGTTAGGTTAGGTACACAATTTTTTTTTTTTTTTTTGAAGCGCACTAACACTAAGAACACTATTTTATAAAAAGGGTCTATGGGGTTGATCTGGCCTGGGGGTCATCCCTCCTTGTATACACTGCTTTATGCTTAAGATGTTTTTACTTTTTAGTACCTACCTATACCGCATACAATGTTTGAGAAAATATTATCGATTGTATATTTCGAAGTGGGTTGATTAAAAATCACAACTTGTATAATTAATAATAAAACAATTAACCGCATTTATTATTGAAACAAAAAAAAATGTCAGCTTCGTATAATACGTCAGAGTTATAATAATTTATTATTCATCGTGAGATTTTTAATTTAATGTTCGTCTACCGCGCCGTACTCTGAAATTGCTCCTCGATCTTACCCATATATGTATTTAATTGTGTTCCTATTGAATATCTTTCAACTGAAGTTTGTATTTCGTTATCATCGACGGGGTGAAAAGAAAATAGTCAATAGTCATCTCTTCAGAGTTTAGCTTGTGTCAGAGTTCGTTCCGGTATCGATATGATGCCGCCGCCTAAGTGGCTTGACTCCTCCGTCACATTTCATCGCGAATTTCCATTCTAAAATCAACGCTTCTTTCGGTGTTATCTGAAACGAGAGCAAAATTAATATAATTTACACGTTCACTCGGATCTGGTCCGTGCCAGACCGAGCAGATGAGGCATATTTATTGTCTATATTTTTTACAATCAATGACTAACAAAAAGTCCTAAATTATGTACAAATTATCCAATTCACTATATTAAAATTGATATATTAATTTTGATATATTTGATGACTATTACTTATACCTAAATAGCCTACAAATTACAATTTACAAATATTATTGTTCCATGTAAAAATGGTAAAGGAATTATAGGTAATAGTGTAATACACTAATACCTAAATCTAAATCTAAATATAAGAATTTAAAATAACTACCTAGGTACTTAATAAGTTATGTACGTTTTATATTTAAAGATACTTTTGCCTTAGTGTAATGGTGGGCTCACACATTCTCTCAATTTTTTTTGATTTTTGGACTGATTCCAGAAATTGAGCCCGGAAATATTTTCAAATCGAATTTTTTGTTCTGGTTTCCAGCGCGTTAAACTCGAATATTTTGCATTTTATACCGAGCTTCATACTAGTGTTGATGCATTACAATTATTTATACAGGGTCATACACAATGAGGGCTGATGGGTGTTTGCGGTATTTGGGAGCTTATAAAATCGAGTATAAAATAATGTTTTTGTAGAAAAACTTAAAAATATAATATGTTATAAAGGCTTCCAGTCACCACAAAGGTACCTACCTAAATTCGGCTTTGCATTACCTTACCTCTTCTTCGATGGCCACTTTCCGGATGTTCCACAAAAACTCCAATATGGAAAACATAAACGCAATTAAACATCCGAGAACCAAAACCACAAAAACGCCACCGATTTTCGTAAAGCCGAGTTCGTCGCTTTCGTCTTCTTCCTAAATTGATAAAATATAATACGCAATAAAATTATGATTCGAATGGTAATTCATAAAATTTTATAAATTTTTTTTTTCAACTAGCAGCAATTGGGTGGATTTTCAACTGTGGGGGGCGGTACTTTGACTGGTACGGGACTGTAGGTTGGGTTTACATGTGTGTTTAGTTTTGGTAGAATTTTGAATTGGCACCCGTAGGTTTCTGCCATACCCAAAGAGAGGAGCCGCCCTTCGTCGAATTTTTTCTACCACAAAACACTTAGTGTACTTATTCACATACACAAACACACACATAATTGTAAAATCTCAATACGCATTAATCGCTACGATCAAAATCTAAAATACTTCACCTATAAAAGTATGAAACGAGTACAACAGTATATAATGCAGATCGATAAATATATCAACGTTAACCCTTAACTTGTCAAGCATTAAAATATTAGAATGAAAATTTTAAAATAGATATTTTCCAACTAATTTAAGGTCGCTGAATTAAAAAATGTTGACAAAAAAAATATTGGACTTGAAAGTTCAAAGTTATGAATTGTATCTTAAAAGATACATAGCCATAAACCAATACTAATATTCATGTATCTAAAAGGATACATACTTTTAAAATTGATATAAAATAAGCATTATTGCATATATTATTAGAAACTTTACATAAAAGTGATTAACTGAGTTGATTCTAGTAACACATTAAAATTTGATGAAATTAGCAGTTGAAGTCAACGAGTTTGATCGGATTTAAATTTCCAAAAAATGATAACAAAAAACAGTTATTACTTATTATCAATCCCAATCATCATAGAAACGTTATCGTAGTGTACTCACGTGGGAGTCGAGATCAGTGGCGTATTTAGGAATTTGTCATGGGGAGGGTCCAGAACTCCAGAACACAGAGCCACGGGGGACGAAGCCCCCCACACCACCCATTTACTCTTTATTAAATAAAATATACCATATTTATAAGACGATATAAAATTGTCGAGTTTTTAATTATTAAATAATAATATGTACAAAACAAATTTAAAAAAAAGCGGGTGAGTGGATGTCACTCTGCTGCTGTACAGTAGGTTACAAGTGGGTCAATGTATAATGGATTGTATTAAACTTGAACTCAATGATATAATATAATATCATTGTATAAGAAAAACGATTCTGAGCGAAGACGGTTTGTCAGTCTGGATATTTTATATTGTTATTATTTATTATAGCCTGTTAGTTGAATTAATAATGAAATACTTTTATTTTTTATTTTTTTCTATGGTGATAGACAAAGTGTTAGAAATTAAAATCCCATTTTTAGAGGTTTTTCGTAATTTTTTGGTGGTTTTTACAGTGGCATTAAATAACTATTGAGAAAATCAAAAAATGACCTCTCTAAGATAGTAATCTTGATCCAATTTTCTAAAAGATAAGTTACTATATGTCTATACATGTTGAAATCGAAGCACCCCTTTTGGAAGAAATTTTGTATACAGGAAAAAAAAATAAGCACCATTGTAGAACCAATAGATCCCTCAGAATCGAATATATAGTTATATGTTACCTATAACTTTTATACAAATATTTCCTTAATTACATTAGGTAGGTACCTACTTCATTCATAGTTGATCTTAGATAACTTTTCAACCTTAAAAAGTTTGAAAAAGATCTCTCTGGAGTGGTTGTAGATACTGGCAATGTACAAAACTACAAAATATTTGAATTAAAGAATGATGAATTTGGTATTTTTCAACCATTTCCGGTACCCAACTGATAAAAATAATCACGATATTTATTGAAAATGTTGATATAACTATAGCTTCGAAAATTTTTTATACAATCCGTAAAATCGTATGATAAAATTTGTTTTTTAATCATGTAAAAACTGCACAACATTTAACATGTACGAGACACGAGTCAATGGGAGGGGTCCGGACCCCATGGACCCCGTAAATACGCCACTGGTCGAGATATGACATTTATCAAAGTGTACAAATAATAAAAATAAAAATATTGTACATCGGATTTCGTACAAAAATTCACAAACTTTGTGTATCCAAAAAGATACAGCACCAAGTTAAGGGTTAAAGTACTGTAATACAATAGTATACCACTGAATTACAACGTAAGTACAGTATTGGTATATCAATATCAATAATAATAAAAATAATGGTGTTTTGGAAAAATAAACGGGACCGAAATCCAGTCGATGCTGCAGGTCGATTAATAATAATATGATGGTTTACTTGCTGGCTAGTAATAACTAATAAACGATGTGTGTCTTAAACCATCGGTGACGGGTGACGGTCTAGGACGAAATTCGGAATAGGCTCATTTGAAATTTATTCTGACTACCTACACGCTAACTATTCACCAGTGAAAATGGCTGATTCACAAAATAACGAAACGACCCAAGAAATCGAAACCATCATTAAAGACGTCTTGGACAAAATAGATCAAGTATTTGCCGACAGAAATATAATTTATGCCGACTGTAAAAATGCCGAGCCTCAATTTCTTAAAACAAACTATGTGAAGTACCTATACAAATTCGTGGTTTTTCTGTATAATAGGTAAGGTATAAAATATATATATAAAATAATTAAAATTTGATAAATATTATACTAAAAAACATTATAAAAAAATTTTAATAAAAAATTTTGAACAGTTCTATGCATATAGTCTGTTATAATTGTGTATCATTAAATCAATATACGATAAGGGTTATATAGGAACCAAAATCTAAAATAAAACTTTCATCATCTGCATGTTACTGCACTTATGGAAGAACCTAGATAAGCCACCGCCGTGTAAAAATTGATCAGGAACATAATATATTAATATGTGCTTGCCAGTGGTTGTTTTTTAAGTTACCCATTTGGGTAGGTCGAAACTTTTACCCCCCTCTATTAAAAACTGAAATTACACCACTGACTGTAATAATAACAATATAGGCCTAGTGCCAACCACCCACAGATACTTGCTTGAGATAGCGATTAGCGATAGCATACCGATGGACGACGGTACTAAAAAAGTTATTATAGGCGGTATTATATAAGTATAGCAATCGGCAGTATTTTGATTTCTAAATCAGTAAACTCTTAAATTGTCAAGTGCGTATAGTCGAAGTCAGTGGGAATAAGGAAAACAAGGAGTTCTACTTCACCTTATTTGTATACTAAAACTATTGTGGAGTCAATACTCAGTAGTCATTGATTAAATAATAAATATCCACTTATATATTACACTTTTTGTAACATAGTAAACTAGTGTCATCCTCTGTAATTACCGATTTAGAAATCAAAATACTGCTGACTGCCGAGGACCCGTTCTCGTTTTTATTATTAAAATTATAACCTAAGAAAATCTAGGAAACCCAATAGTACGCCCGCAGGATAAAATCTCACCCGGGGCAAGATATAAATTACTTATAATCTAATATTAGGTATAGTAATATTGATACATTTATTATACAGTTTTACTGTTCCAAAAAGTGATGACAGACATACATACAAAAAACTCATCATTGTAAGACTAAACCATACATTCTTCACTCATAATTTAAAATAGAGAAAACACAATACGTTTTTCAATCTCAATCGTTTTCTACAAAGACTTACCTCGCATTTATTGTCTCCTTGGACTTTCCACCATTTGTCTTTGAGCTCTCGCATGAATCCGGATTCTTGCAATCTCAACACCGATTCGCTAATCAGCGTACGATACGGGGAATCTTAAAAGAAAAATAACCGATTGCGTTATAGGTACATGCATATAATAATATAGTTTATAACTTTGATCTATATAATTATTATACTACATTACTACCTAGATATATAATATTATATGAATGCAATTTTTTTGTAGGGAAACCTGACAGTCTAGTTTTGATTTAATTTTTTGCTGTGTCCCTTTCAATTCTGTCAAGGTTACGTAGGATAATCTTCATTCCGGAATTCAACCACTAAATGTTGGCTTTTGTTTCGGGCACTTTCGGCTTACGAAAATCGAATATTTGTTGGTTTATATATATTACGGACTACGTAGGTTTGCCATTGGACATTAGTTGTAGCAGTGACGCCAGGGGTGGGCCAGGGTGGACCGAGGCCCACCCTAAAATCTTCTCGGCCCCCGGCTGGCCTACGCTGTATGATTTCAAAGTATTTTTGCTTAGAATTACATCATGATATTTTAAAATTTATAAAAATGTATAAGGTATTGTAATATTGATTTTGAAAATGTATGTTATATTGGTCGATACATTATGGCTTTACTCAGTAACATACCAAAAAGGCAGAGGCTTATTGAAGTTTTAAAAATTAGCTGGTATTACACTCGATATAGTGACCTTTTTTTTTTTTATTAACCTATATAATTGTACGTTGTTACCACCCGATAGGTAAGGGGCATTTTTGTATGGGGCCCATTTTTGCCCCAAACATTTTTTTTAAAGGCTATAATATGCTACTCAGTACTCACTCATCGGCATTGCTATGCCGTACCCTTTGGAGTCGAGCGTGTTGCCGATTTCCATCAGGTTGCAGTTACGTTCCGTCTGGTACTCGATGCTCGACGATTCCATGAGGAAAGCATACCGGCCTTTACCCTTGAGTACCCGGTCAACGCCCTCCTGATTGCTCTTCGTGAACACGGTTGGGTTAGACGCTTCCATTACGCTCCACATCCTCTGGTACAAACTCAAGTTCGATTTCTGCACAATATATAGCACGTTGTCATTACAATAACCGATTTATTATTATGAATAGATGGTGGCTTGCATTTAGAACATTTGTTTTAGGTGAGACTTAAAAATTGTCTATACCTACCACCTTACACCACCATTCTCAAGCCCATCAAAAAAATTTTAGATTTTTTTTAAACTTATTCAAACTGAAATTATCATTCAATTATAAACAAGTAACTCAATGTTTTTTATTAGTTTGAATAGGTCCAATCATTGTTGCAGCTAGTAGAGTAATAAATAATAATACAGTAATTGTTTTTTGTTAAGTACCTACTTGTTTTAAATTGAGGTTCTTACACCCGAATTAACCAGAACCTATAACACCCTTAAAAACCCTTAAAAAATCAAACACCCGAACCCCATACAACTCGAATGATTCTATACTCTACTAGTCTATTCCCACTTTCATTTTTGAGAACGCAGAGTATGGTGAAAACGTTGTTTTGATACAATACAGTTCACTAGGTAATAGTAGGTATACATTGTGGTGTTTAGAGACGTGAAACTGTAGAACTACAGTGTACTGTATGGTCACAACGTTTTCACCATACTCTGCGTGCTCAAAAAACAAAAGTGGGTAAACTTAAGGGGAATAGTCCAATAGAGTATATTTTCAAAACACACAAATTAACCAAAACCCGAATTCTGGTTAACCCGAAATGCGAATAATTTTTTATTTTATAATCTTCATGTGATATATCATTTTGTATGTATTTGATGTGGTTAGATCGATTCAGTAGTTAATTATTTGTTTAATAATAACAATATTATTTAGAGAATTTTACTATCAATTGGAGGTAAATACTAATATAAACTAATATATGATTCTATCATTTGGTTCTGATTAAACAAAAATGTTGAAGCCGTAGAATGTGCTGAAGCTGAATGTGGACTAAAAAGGTTATAATATGTAATAGCAGATACTAAATACAAACGGTTACCAATATAGGCTAGAACTGGGAGAAGCGTACCTAGCTAATACAACGCACTGTGTGTTAGTTAAGTAGATACCTATGTAATTGATCAAGTAAGTAATAACACATGCACCTAAGCTATCGAGTAAGTAAGTAAAGTACAGTTAGTAAATAATGGAGTAATAAAAGAGTATAGGTACATTAATAATGAGTAATTAAGTAATAAGGTAAACAATAGAAAGTAAGTAAGAACTAACAAGAGTATGTAAGTAGCTGAGTACTTAGTAACAAGTAAGTAATGTGATAAAAATTGAGTGTATAATTAATTATGGCTGTGGCCAAAAGCACCTACCTAGTACTTGGTAATAACCTACACTTTTATAGATTAGGTACACTAAGAAAAATATATTTTCATTAGGCAGTTCTTAGTTATTACAATTATAACAATAATACATTTACGCGGCGTAAGCGCATAATATTATAGAACACTGCGGCAGACCTGAAAAAAACTGGCCGTCGATCCTTCTTCGTAACAGCCGTACTCGATGTTCGAGTCTTTCGACAAGTCATCGACGTTCTTGATTGGAGTGTCCAGACGTCCGCTGGTAATGGACGCTGTCAGGTTGGCGGTGTACGACGAGGTCATGATCAGCGCGAAAAACCACCACATCCCTGCCACTAAACGCGTGGACACCGCCCTATACACAGCACAGATGGTTACGACTTACGAAACATTTCATGATGTTATATTGTACTGCTACATGCAGGCTGCAGTATAGGTAATTAGAGTATACTAATTACTAATTGTTAAATAATAATCATTATTTCAATATTATACTGGGTGATCTGTTTAAAGTAAGACACTCATTGGTCATCATTTCAGAAAACCCTGACGTTTTTAAAAATATTTCTTGCATATAATTTTAATTCATTATAAGACAATATTTTTGGAAAAATGTATGTTTTGCTATTTTTTTATCGCTGTAATTTTTTAAGATTTTTTTCACTTTTGAAATGATAACTTATATTTTTAATTTCGTTCTAAGCAGAATATTATTTGGAATATTTCGATCTATCAAAATTAAATTTCAGAAAGTACAGTTTATATTACCTAGTTATCAGTTATGACTATTAAGTATAGGTATTAGGTACCTATATGTTTGAAGTTTTGATGAGTAAAGTAGTGAACCAACCATGGGCATATACACGGGGTGGGGGATATGGAGGATGGATCCCCTCCATGACCTTTTTTTTTGTACATATTATTAGCAACACTACCCTGCTATTTCTATTGGAAATACTTAATATATATCCCCCCCTTCACAATGAAAATTTGTGTATATACGACTACACTACTGGAACCAACATTTTGAAGGGTAATCTCGTACCAGTCCACTCCTCTCATCTAAATTTTAAATACTTATAACTTAAAAACTATAAACTACATGTCCAAAATTCGATTTTTAACTTGACTCAAAACAATAGTCTGCTGAGGAATATAGATTTAAAATGCATGTCGTCATTAAAAAATGATAGTAATAACAATTTAGGACATTTAGAAAAATGTTGTTTTTTAACGACTTACTAGTTACTTGATATTAAGTAAACAAATATTTTCAAAAACGTTGGTCATTTTTGAAATAATGAGTATCTTACATTATATGGATCACCCTGTATAGGTTATATAGTTATTACTTATTATAGACAGTTTATTAGTTTATAATCACCCGATAATAATATCATCGTATAAAATACAAACGACAATATTATTAATATTGTTGAGAAGAAACATTACGCCAACATAAAAATAATAATATATAGGTATATGTACCTATATATGACGCGAAGATGGTGAGTTGCGTATAATTCAAGACATTTAGCCAAGAGTTATAGGTATTATAACTATAACATTTAGATTCTAAGCGGAGCAATGAATGTATTGATTTTACAATGGTGTTTTTTTCTCTGTGTATACATGGAAATTAGTAGAATAAATACTTCGATTAGTTTCTGGTAAAACATTGGATCTAGTTGATACTTGTGAGAGGTCAAAATTGAAAATTCTCTGCATTCTTCAAAGTCTTTGTTCGGAATCGTGTTTTTAAAGTTAACATAAACATTACAGTGACCCACTCGACACCTACTGATTACTGTACAGCGTGGTATCCACTTTCTCGCCTTTTTTTACACTGATTTATAAATTCTAGTAAAGACTTTCAACTTAATGATATTGGAAAATAGTATATTACCATACAATATATTACAATATATTCATCATATATAGAATATTATTATAACTATTGACTTGTAATAATAGTCTTTCCTTATAAGAATATGTAAGACCAATAAAAATTTCTGAATTTGCTAAACCTATTATTAATAGATAGTACTCCATGCGAACTGTGTGGGTATTAAAATGTTAAAATATGTTAGAAGATGATAGTTGGGCACGCTTTTAGCTTTTGTGTCACAATAATTATACAGGGTGATTTGTTTTGTAATTGTGTTATGAAAATATTTTTGTATCATACATAGCTATATATTATTATATATAGGTAAACGTATATAATATTATTATATTCTACATGGATGATATCAGATATAGAATATAATAATACGAATAAAATAAACTCTCGTCATGTCGAATCTTAAGGAGAACAGAAATAAGTTGGGGATATTATATTTAGTCTCATTGCATACCAATGCTATTTTGGTGTACTGGTAGTTTCAAGGGGATTTCAATTTAGTTCGTGATAACTAAAAATTCTAGATATTGACGTTTGACATATTTTCCGGTCAAAGCTCAGTTAAGTTAGGTTAATATGCATTAATTAATAATTAATAAGAAAAAAAGTTAAAAGTTAATATACATATTGAAAAAAAAAATTTCACTGAATTTTTTTATATTACTAGCCTACTTTATTCTTTTAGCAACTTAAATTTATAGGTACACATAGTGTTTATACAGTATTTTTATATAGTACTTAATTTAAGTTTTTCGTCACTAAAATAAAACATTTCACATTTCACACCAAACAGTACATGAAATATTTGTTGACATGAAAATGAAATCGATTGAAATGTAATAAATAAATAAAATGAAATTAGGAACAAAATAAATTAACTTCCATCAAAATGAAAAACGAATTCATTGATTTCCCGATAACTTAAAAGCAATCAAGTTAAGTTAGTAGTTAAATTACGGGTAACCCAAAAGTAACTACCTATAGTTAAGCTAAAAAGTTAATATAAAATTAACTTTATTAGTTAACTTCTACTTTTTAACTCGTTAATGCCCAGCCTCGCACTGTATAGGTACATATATATATATATATAAACACTGCGTTAGGTCCGCGTGCTGTTGCCTTACTGAGGTGATACATCGGAACCCTGTTGCAACATGGTGCCGCAACTGAACCATATCAGATTAGCCACATTAAGCCTAGTCTCAAGGTCGTTGTTACCTTCTTTCCACGGCTGTGGATCGTTCCATTCGTTGGGTGTGATTCTGCAAACAATCAACGGGGATAGATAACTACGTCATTCAAACGGGTGCGCCGCTGGTTTTCGTGTGCCGGCACACACTGCTGCTGCCTCAGCGCCGTATCATATAATGGACCATAGTCGCCTTAATATTATATAAGTACCCATTAGGTACCTACATATCATGGACAGTTATATAGGGTTGCGCACTGCGCGTTTTTGCACAATACGCCGAAAGTGTATGTATTATGTATATTATTATGCGTATAGATTCTAAAATCTAAGGTAACAACCACAGAATAGATTAACAACTACGAAGTTAAATATAGCATATTATTGTACAGCTCGGTCAGTGGCATATTTATTTAAATGTAGTGGGGAGGGCGGAAATGACAGAAGCATACAACAGACAGAATACTATAAATTATGTATGATCTGATGATCACCATCATGATGTGTACCTATATAGGTATAATTGCGTACTGTATTATTACTTATGGGTTTATTACGTCGACAATAGACAGAATATTTTTTTGAAATCATATTATCATATTAATTATTATACCATAGGTAATAGGTACCTATGTCTTATATATAATATATATATACCAGGCTTATGTATTTCGAGACAATTTGACCTTCAGGCCGAAAGGACCCAAAAAACTATGTTTTAATGTTCAATGAAATATTATTTTATATTTTAGATTCTGAGTGAAACGATGAATGTATTTTACTTCAAAGTGTTGTTTATTATTTATGGAAATAATTTATAAACAGGACCTACCTGTAGCTAAAAATCATATTATGTGACTATAGTGTATAATATTATATTATAGGTACCTACAAACTAATATTACATAGGAAAGTTTTATATTTTATAAATACGCCACTGATATAGCAGCGGGTGATAAAAACGATGAAAACTCTAAGCATAAAAGTACACACACAAACTGACAAACACTGCAAAAGCGCACAATTATATGTATATATATATATGCTGTATGTTAATTAGGTGATTGGAAAGACAGTAACCTATTAGTTCATGATGTAGTGTGAATATTTTAATGCAATACTTTTTAATGGCCACCCTTTCACCATGATTTATAAAAATACGTCTTAAATGTTTTATGATTTTTAAATACTGACTTCCTAACCAACTAACACATTGTATACAGCTTTTGGTGGACAATCGTGTTTTCTAAAATTTCACTACGGAAACCTAGAAACCACCATGAATATTCAAGACTTAATGATATGTTAAACAAATTGTGCAATATAATAAATATATATGTGTGTATATATAATTAATAATTATGTATATTATAGTGCAGTATATCACACGTGCAACCGTCGGCAAATTTAGGTTTGCGCTCACTTGGGTAGGACTTCGCATCCGGCACACAGCACGGAACCGATGGAAAACCACAGGCAGTTGAGCAGCGTCATCGAATTCTCCAACGTGTTGTCTCCGGGCTTGACCGGGTGCGGGAGTTCCCATTCGAACGGTGTCATTCTGAAAACAGTTCCACAACGGTCTGGGCCAACTGCGGTAGGTGGTACCTATATACGAGCCTATATACCCACGGTATAGTATTCCACGGCGACCCCCGCAATCATTATAATAGGCATATAATATATGTTTTCCGGGACCTCGCATTTAATATATTATTACAGGTATATATATATATATTTACACGGGATGTTAGTCGTCTACGGAAAATACTATTGTGTTCGGTGGTGTTATGGAAAAAAAACTCAACTCAACCCGCCTAAATCGATGACTATCAAGCGAAATAATAATAACTATATTTATTTAATATTATTATATTCATAGACGAAAATCGATCGGATATTGGTATTTTGCACCCCGGGGTTTGATGGCTTAGTAGCAGCCACCGAGCAGGCAGTTTCCAGAGTGTGTCCAGAAATAACGTTTATTTAATGTCCCGAGTGCGTCAATAGAAACAATATCATATTTTTGACGTATCCCGAGCCAGAGCTGTTTAGACTAGCTTAATGCAAAATATAATCTACCTATATTTGAATTTCGAATGAAATAGAGGTTCCGGTTTAGTCATACAACTAAATTATACTACGCGATATTTCGAACTCGTATAAGCATAGTCTAACCCTAATTGGCAGATACTAATTTTTGAAAAACGATGCGTTTTAAATTTTTATCCTCCACTGAATAGTCCCCTCCTATAGTACATGAAAAAAAAACCAACAATGAAGAAGATTGACAACATTTAATAACTAAATCAAAAAAGTTTAACTTAGTTACTTTTAAACGAATTATAATAATATGACAACATTTAATAACAAAAAAAAAATATTGGGAGACTTGTCAGTCAACCTCCCCGAGGTGTCTCCCAGGTAACGCTAATATGTTGAAATTTGGGAATCAACTATATGTGTGCTGGGAATCAATTCATACGTCTCACAAATGGACTTTGGAATCAATTAAGTAATGCATAAAGTCGTAAGTCTCTGGAATCAACTCACCCAAACACTAAATTAAAACTATATAAACCACTTTTCGTCTACAAAACGAGTAACACCCAATGCAAAGGCTGCACGTATTATCCTTCAGGATACATCATTTTGCTATATTGCTATTGAGGTTTGAACGTCTAATATTCCTCTCCCCCCTTCCACCAAGAAGAAATATTAAACAATTTTCGCCTATGAATATACAATTTTATTATTGGGTATTATTTTTTAATCTGGCATATTATTTATTACGTAACATTCTATTATATACATAATACATTATATATATGTATATACAAGGATATATAATATGGGTGTATACACACTGTATCGCGATGTACGTCAGTGGAGGACGGGTCACACGATGGCGGACTATGACCGTTTATGACTCGTTAAAAGGCCAGCGGCGCGGTTTCCGCCTGCAACTGTTAAGTACAACTCTATTTTTGTTCCTCACTTACCTGGCCAACATGAACAAGAACAAAGACACGCCTAGGTACGCGGTCGCGGTGTACATCCAGACGCTGAAAGACAGCGGGTTCAGGAACCAGAATAGCTGGGGTTTCTTCTTCTCCGGTTTCGCGTACAATATGCTTATGCCCAGCGTCATGAACGGCGTCGTGAAGTCTACCGCGTTCCGCCGGTCAAAAGTGATCGTAAGGTCGCAGATCGCCAGGTCCGCCCGCTGCAGCGTCCCACATAACCAACGAAAGTGGTGAAAAATCGAAAATAGCCATTCGCTATATATTTATATATATTATACAGGGTGATTTACCTAGAAAGCTCAACCCCATTTTTTCCTTCAATAATTTGGAGTTTTTAAATTTACTATTCAACATTTTTTTTTTTAATTCTTGCATTAGTTTTGTATTATTCAAGGAGTGTCCTGTGGCGATACAGACTTTTTCAAATGAGAACTCCTCTTTTTTACTGTAAAATATTTAGTGGATAATTTTTTTTTTTAATACTATTTTGATGTACCTAGTTTAAAATTCGAATAAGTCATTTCTTAGTTATTAAAATGTTTGTACTAATGATGATAGTCCTTAAAAATGATTTTACAAAAATATAAAATAGACATAATATTGGAACTAGTATTTATTATACTATTTGGTCCGTTTTTAAAATCTATTAATGTTGATAGATTAATATTAATGACTAAAATGTTGAAATCACCAAGGCCACTATATCCTATAAACTCATTACCATAGACCTTTTATACTTGAAACACAAAGTTAACTCAACGAATTTTGATTCTGGTATATCTAATTTTTTGGAAAAATTATCCACTGTATGGTATCCATATAAAAAACAGAAGTTTGTATCTCCACAGGACACTCCTCAAGTAATGAAAATATGAACTTCAAACATTTAAAAATTCCAAAAATCCTGTTTTGAACAACAGTATTAATGAAGAACAAAAAGGTGTGAGCATGCTTAGTGAATCACCCTTTATATATGGGGTGATCCGTTTAAGAATTAACGAAAGACACTCATTATTTCAATTTTCAATTAACACAAATGTTTTTGAAAATATTTCTTTTACATTATTTTTTCGATAAAAACAACTTTTTTGGAAAACATTTATATTTTTAGTAGGTATTTTTTTTAGGAAAATGTTGTTTTTAACGACTTAAAATTATGTTAGAATAATTTTTTTTTAAAACTTTTTTTTTTGAAATAATGAGTGTCTTACGTTAAATGGATCACACCACGGTACCTATATATCATAATATGTAGTATATTGTATATATTGTTATAGTATGGGGGCGGTAAACCCGGCCCCCTCATAGGCCCTTGCACTTTATACGCGTTTAGGCTACTGGCTAACATAATCAGACATAAATCCTCCAAGTGGAGTAACCTATATAGAATCTAGATTGTAATTATAGAATAATTATGAAGTGTTTTTCAAGTATAAAAAAAACATCCTATAGGCTATGGGTCTTTAAGTATATATTTCCAATTTTTTCTTGTGTAGGGAGAATTTATACATGATCGATGGTAAATTATTTTCGAATGGACCTAAGTATAACTAGGTATAGGTTACACACCTAGTCAGTGGAGCCGAAGTCCATATTATCTTCAGGCTATGGCTCGACTACTTTTTTAAAAAATGTGGCCTACAGGCCACATTTTATATACATCATAACTTCATTACGAGCATGAGTATATTTAAGCCATGGTTATAATTAAATGTATATTAAGTTATCTCTTAGTTAAACGCTCATCATTAATTTAGCCTTGCAAATTATTGTACACATATTTTAATTATATTGAATCATATACTCTTCATAAGTGTAACACATTGAATTCTAAATCTAGATAAATAACTGTTATTTCTTATGAACCAATAATTTTATTGTAATGCCTACCCTACCTAGGTACTAACTATGGGACAAATCTTAGTTGTATACGTTTCTATTAAATAAAACTCATGATTTGTGAAAAGTATATAATAAAGTTGTTTAAATTAAAAATGAGAACACCATAAATAAGTATCTACTTAAGTTCACTGATAACAGAAAGATTACCAATTTTATCACTTTCTGTTAAAAACTAAAAAAAATCGCGAGAATCACCTCTAAAATCACTATATAGTTATACCTTCATCAGCTATTATCATATTATTTTATATTCATGATTGTCAATTGTGGGTACAATGTGTAAATGTTAGACATGCAACATATTAGCATACACTATGTTTTTATAGCTCACCATGGACTGCAACTCTCCGATCATACCGTTCCACTTGCCGGTCTTGTGATTCATAATGCCGTAATCTTGGTTGGTAGTAAACTTGAATTTAAATCCATTGTATTTGGCCATTTCCTCGACCAAGTCGTACGCAAATCCTTCGAAACATTCTTCGTCTTTGTCCATTCCTTTTTCCGTGGCGTTGCATCTCATAAGATATGGTTGAACCTATTTTTATTTAGAAACGATTAATTTTTGTTCGGAATTTTTGCTAGTTTACGTTGTTTACAGTACCTACATAACATTGTTATATACTTATGTACACTAATATATGCTTGGTGCTCAAACGCTAGGTATAGGTAGGTATAGTATGTTTGATAAACTCACTAATTTTCCAACGACGATAAACGTCTTGTTCGTAATCGACTGGGCAAATTCTGAGTTAATTTCTGACACCGATCTCGTCAGCGTCATATTCAGCTCCGGATCCCAAGATCCCAAACGATGCTTCTTGCTCTCTTGCACTCGGACCACGTCTAATTTAAAGTAATTCCTGTTACCTGTTTCTGCATCGAATCTCATTTTTCCGGTCAATCCATTTACCTCCATCTGCAGAAGAACCAATAATCACAATATATATACATTAATATATTATAAATTATAATACAGCAATAACATCCGCGGAAAGTATTTCGATCAAATAATATATTTTGCAGTGGTGGTTCTAGGGGGAAGGCCGGAAGGGGGATCATCAGGAGGTCATCAGTTAATATTTCTTGATGAAATTGGCCTCTTTTAAGGTCTCAAAAATAACAGAGTACCTAATTTTTGATTTATAATGTTTATTATTTATACAAATATATTATAGCTACATAATACCTGAATATATTTTATGCATAATGGCCTGCGTTCTTATAGATGACATTTTCGTAAATAAACATATTATTACCTGCGTGTAATGCGACCCTACCCCAGAACTCATCTCTGAATACAATCTTATCTTACCACTCGCATGTAGTTGATTAGACTGTATCCGTGCACCCACGGTTTTATGTCGTCGCAAGCGATTCTCATGGGCCCCATCGTTTGGGTTGCCACCAAACCATGGAGCGATGTTGCGAAAAAGTTCACCGCATCGTACATCAACGCGGTTTTTGTCTGTTTATGAAAAATAAAACAATCATTTATTGCTTTAATATAAAATATATGCACTTCTATGGCTAGACCTATAGTATATGATATACAATATAGGTATATTTTGGGTAAAAAATTAGAAAAGTAAATTTGTGTATTTTCAATGCCCATCTTGACTCTTGTATGGATGCAGAAATTAGTTATAATATTATTATTATAATTCTTTTCACATATTTTAAATTTTAAGTGGAGCGGACAGCTATTGGTTTTTACTTTTTTCTAGGACATGACGTGCATCTTTGTGTTTTTCGAATTAAATTAGTTAGATAAATAGTAGATAATGCATGCATTCAGTAATTCTCTATGGATATAGAAAACCACTATAACGGTGTTTATTCATTTTTTAGAGTTTTCCAGTAAGTTTTGAAAAATTACGAATAATTATGTTTGATATATGTTTGTAAATTGTAACAAATTCTTTAAGATGTTGAGTACACCTAAATAAACTAAATTTTAATTTAAATAAAGATAAGATAACTAATTGAGATGATATAATAAACAGACTTAAAAAAATACATACCTACCTACATTTGTTCAAAGACTTCACTAAAAAAATAATTTTTTGTTCATTAAGTAGATAATATAATAATTCTATGTTATTACAATTTTATTTCCCCGTTAACACAATAATGATTCATACAATTATTTTTTATTATTAAAATAATTAAATTAAATTAACCTCCATAAGAAAAGTGTAAGTATTCAATACAAATTATCAGAAGTAAATATTTTAAATTCTGTTTAAATATTAGATAATAAAAGTATTTCGATGTTTAAACTTACAAATAGTACTTAACATGTTTACAAAACTATCTGCAGGTCGTAGTCCAGTGGCGTAATTTGGTCATGGTTGTGGGGGGGGGATGTAATGTATGTACATTTCACCAATTACCCCCCCCCCCCTCAACATTTTTTTTTTTTAATCATATAAGGCATAAGCTATAAGCAATAAGCACCCCTCAATACAAGAATACAACCATTATGATCTGTATGTAATAACTAGTAGCCGGAATTATATTCTTTTGCATATTTTTTTTGAGTCTATGCAGTCAGACGGGGGTTCGAAATCTTTACAAATCATGAAACAGGTGAGTTAATGGCAAAAGTTTTTTTGCATATTTGGGAATATTTCAAGATAAAAGAATATTTTGTGTAATAAAAATTATTAGAGAATATATCGATTAATTTTTGTAGATGTTCGATATTTTTTGTTGCAGTGGCCTAAATAATATAAATAGCACATATAAAAACATTTTAACCGACCGTTGTACAAATATGACATTAGGGAACATGGAACAAAATATAGTGGTCAACTGTTTTCAAAAATTTTCTTAGTTAAAAATTTAAAATAATTAAATATTAAATCAAACTTTTCTTAACAAGTAGTATTTTTTATTATGTAGGTACCTATTTATATCAGGTTTTTATATTATTTTGCATATTATGTACCTATTTATTTATATGAGTTCGTATTATTTGCTTAATTATTTTGTATATAAATGCATATTTTTAGTTCAAGAGAATATTTCAATAAAAAGCATTTTTTTTTGCATATTTTATTATTATTTTTAAAGAATATTGGAAGAATATTTTCAACTTTTTAAGAGAATATTAGCATCTTATTTGGCTATTTTAAAAGAATATAATTCCGGCCCCTAATAATAACTAATATTGTATATACAGTGTGATCACGATTTTAGGTACCACCGAATATCTCAGATGGCTGACTTTGTATTGAAATGGGGTTTTCGGGAGGTGATAGCCGATAGGAAGCACTTAAATACATATTTTCGGACCAGTTTAAAATGTTTAGCTCACTCGGTATGCGCATGCGCAATTTGACTTACTTTTTGTTAAATGGCAACCCCACTTTTTTTCTACAGATTCGGGTAGAGTATTTTTTTTTAAACATTTTTTGTATTGAAAGTTTTTCTATTTATAAAACTGACCAAGTTAGAGAAAGTCAAATTTTGGATTTATTCATAATACGTGTTTAATGCAATTTGCATTTATAACCAGTTGAAATAATAAAATAAGTGCCAAATAAATGTTTGATTAGGGGGGGGGGGGGTGGCTGAGTGGACTAAGGCGTCGGTTGTGGCCGATTTCCGTCCGCCATTAAACATTTATTTGGCTCTTATTTTATTATTTCAACTGGTTATAAATGAAAATATCATTAAACACGAATTATGCATAAATGTTCAATAAATGTTCAAAAATTAATACTCTACCTGAATCTGCAGAAAAAACTGGGGTTGCCATTTAAAAAAAAGTAATATTGCGCATGCGGCATGCGCGTACCGAGTGAGCTAAAAATTTGAAACTGGTCTGAAAATATGTATTTAAGTGCTCCCTATCACCTCCCGAAAACCCCATTTCAATACAAAGTCATCCATCTGTGATATTCAGTGGTACCTAAAATCGTGATCACACTGTATATGATAATATTGATGGATGATTATATATTTGTATAATATTATGGAGATTCAGGTGATTTTTGTATTATCTATGAAATATACATTAATAAAATTAGTACATAAATGTGTTTGACGATTAAAAAAAAAAAAAAAAATGGTCAAGGGGGGGGATACGACACCCAAATCCCCCCCCGTAATTACGCCACTGGGTCGTACCTACGTACCTAATTAATTATACGCATGTAATATGTATGCTTACTTTCATCGTATTCGGCGACAAAACACTGGTCCGTCCGCTTTTCTGTTCGTTGAACACGATTTCCTCGACGGCGTTTCTGACGTGCTGACTTTCCGGGTTGATTAACCGTATCAACGTTATGTTGGCCATCGATTTATGGAACTCGCTGAAACTTAACGTGTGAGCGTCCTGAAACGAGTATGTGCCACGACAGCGAGGAATAATATAGGTAATAATAGTTGAGTTATTTATTGTAATATGTCAATCTCGCTCACTAAATTTGTGATAACGAAGCTCTGGTAATCTCCCATGAAGTGCACTTCCTCGGCTTGTCCCAGTATGTGCATGAGGTGTTCTACTTCATAGTCCAATATCATGTGTTTTTCACCAGACAACTCAATTCCTTGAACACGGCCTGTAATTATTATATATATTATTATTATTATTATTATCAATATTTGTAATATGCATAAATAAGATATTATGAAACATCATGCCTATATCTAAAGGATTACCGAAAATCGTCTGTAGGTGGAATTTGAACGATTTTAATAGATTTTCCCGGAGCCTTGTGCCCGTAATCGAAATGCATTAACAGGGCTTTGAGTCTAATCAAACTTTCTGGACTTTCATAGATAGCAGTGAAAGAGTCCCAATCCATGTCCAATATTATATCTCGTATAGCCTTTAAACATATTTAGGATCGTTAGTATCGGTGGTATTATATAAATATTAAATACTAATTTTGGGTATAATAACCCCTTAGAAAGAATTTTGAGGATAGGAAATGAATCCGAACTTGATTTCTTTCATTTGTAGGTAAGTATCCGTATTTTATTAGTTAACTCTTTTCGAAATTCTTATATATTAAAAGTTTTAATTGTATTTTAATTAATGTTATTATTATTTAATACTATAGGATGTATGTTATTGTATTCTGTTATGTTAATATATATGGTTCTTATAGTGAAGCCATCTTTGGCGTTTACCTAAATAAATAAATTAAAAAATTAAATCATGAAGCCATGAAGGAGGTGTGATTTCACTCCTATTCTTATAGACATGTCTAGAAATCTTGCAAACAATATAATATGATAGTCATTTTTTTCCTTCAGGGTTAAAAAAAGGAAGACGAGAAGGATACGATCCAGCCTTTAACGGCTTTGAGGGTTGATGACCAACCAACACTGATCGTACATTCGTATGTGTATGATATATATGTATATAATATGTGCATAATAATTATTATTATTGTCGATTTCGGATGTATAACAAATATACTTGCCGTCGCCAAGAGAGACGGATCGGGATAAATATTGATGGCGTAAGGATCAGGGGGTCGGTGGAATGTTTTCCAATGCGTTTCGATGAATGGTATTTGTGTTCGGGTGCTAATGGATCTGACCACATTTGCAATGTCTTCGTCGTCTGTTCCGTCAATAAACGCTGCGATTCCAAGTTTCAACGAATCACATACTTTTATAGGTAGATACCATAAAAATCCACGTAACATTCATAACACATGTAATCAAGAAAACAGACAAACAAAATCAAAATTGAATTTATGGGATACATTTTGATTTCATTCCATTATTAATTATTAAATAGATATTTGTATAAATCAATTTTAATAAGTTTTTCTTAAAATTATTTTATTTATACTTTTTTGGAAAATGTTATCAAGACTTTATTTATAATACATTATATTTCGATATATTGGTATTTAAGAGGACCCCACACACGAATATGTGTTGGCTCCGTTTTACAAACTCGTAATATATACCAAATTTAAGCTCAAAAATTCAAGTTTCATGCCGTTAGCTTAAAAATTTGAGAGAATCGACCTATCATGAAACTTGATGGTAAGAACATTTACTGTTTTGTTGGAAGTTTTTTTTACGATGATTCAGTTTTTAAGTGAGTTGTGAGCATTTTTAATTTATATTTATTATACACGCATGACTCACTAAAAAACTGAATTATATTAAAAAAACTTCCAACAAAACACAGATAATGTTCTTACCATCAAGTTTCATAATAGGTCGTTTCGCTCAAATTTTTAAGCTAACGGCATAAAACTTGAATTTCTGAGCTTAAATTTGGTATGTTACGCATTTGTAAGACGGTGACAACACATGAGGGTGTGGCGTCCTCTTAATGTATAAATATTTTATTGTAGTACTACATTAACTACAGTAGTTATATTTTAATATATTATACTATTATATATTGGCTGCATACGATTGATTCCCAGGTACTTGTTTACCTAAATCGAAACAGGTAAATTGATTCCGGGGCAATTAAGAGTTACATAATAGTTGATTCCCATTTTGTTGTATAACACCGTAAACAAAGGAAAAAAGTATTTATGAGGGACAATATTATATCTAAATCAATTACTAAATCAAAAAATTAGGCCTTTTTATTTTGAATAATCGTGGTAGTATAATAAATTAAAATATAGTTTAAATAATTTAAGTTCCTTATATTATATCATACATATATAAGCAACTTAATCAACCCCTGGCTAAAACGATTTCACTATTATTTAGAAAAGAAGGAAAATAGTTTTAAAAAATACAATTAAATTCGTTAATTTACTTTTTAAGTCGTCGTTCTGTGTGCGGAACTATCAATAAAATAATAAGAAATGGTAATTATTAGGCAATCTAGGCAATTACACTAGATAATATTAGGTATAAACAATAAACCACAACAGCTGCAGGTCAGATAATATTATATGATTTGTTACTATGATTGATTACAACAACAAAAAACATAATATAACTATTAACTAGGTAATATATTCTTGTAATATATAACTATATGAATATACATAATATTATTATATAAATTAATTATGACAGTGTATTGACGCATTAATGAAAATCCAATTATAAATATCTTTAAGTTAAGTTTAAGAGTTAAAAGATATTGACGCACACCTGCCAACCCCCTCCCCAAATTACACCCCTACTCGGAAATACATTTAATATTTATGCATAGGTAAGGTAAATCTCGGGAATCAACTCACTGTATATTATATAATATACATTATATATATATAGGTATATTAACATAAATAACAGGGAGTTGTAATTTTATTTATTTATCTATTATCTCACCAACACGTGTCACGTTATACATGTCGTTCACGACGTACTCGGATCTTGGGACGATTTTGTTTTTGGGCAACACCGTGTCCATAATGTTAACGATTTTTGCGCTTACGTTGTAAGCCAACTGATTGGCGGAATCATCGTTCTCGTTGAACAACGCAACTATTACAAAAAAACAAAACTTTTACCTATACGGCTATAATATAGTTTGAGTATTAACTAAGTATATTATAGGTATACAGTTTTCGAGTATAAATAGGCAATACGAAAATTAATCGTCGATTAACAAACGATACGCAATAGGCGCACCTATAATGACTAATAACAATACGTCAATATCTGACTGTATAACGAAAACAACACAATACCACCTACTATACAGAATAAGACTAACCGATTTTTACGACCTTGTTGCCTGCCGACGGCTTAACAATGTCGTCTTCGGAAGCTCCCACGAGCAGCAGTAACACCACGAACGACGAACACAGCGTGACGACGAACGCGCACATTTCTCTACCGTGCGGGTCGGAACTCGGAAGCACACTGAACGAAAGATATTTATTTCCTCCTACACTCCTCCAGCGAAAGAGCCAGGGACACACGAGGCGATAATTTTAGACGATTGCCGCTTACACACGCTCATCAGCTATTTACTCCTATTCATTAGACACAAGTCTTTCGACGATTTTCGGGCATCGGGCCAACCGTCATGCGCACTGCAGTCGTCGCGCTAAGGTCTAAAACGGTAGTTTGCGGACACTCGGTGGTGGCGAGTTTTGTATTTATTTCTTTGTAATTTCTAGCCGGAATATATCAAAAATATCCCACATGAATAGTAATTGACGATGTCCTGAAGTATTGGATGTCCTGCAGTGTGCCTCGTTCGCCATTGTCTAGGTAACTGTAATGGAAGCGTTCAATTTGAATTCAATTACAAATCATTACATCCGAAAAACGATTCTGAGCGGATACGGTCAGCCGTCAGCCAATATTCGTCGACGTATTAAGAATACAATACCCACCTACATTTTATTATATATAATATGTATTTATATTTATTTTCGTCCACATTTTAACTTGTCTATAAGGAAAATTGTACCTACTTATGTATTTTTAATATTTTTATATTGGTACAAGAACAACTATTATTTGGTATTTTATATTACATTTTTTAAATGCCTATAAATAGCTGAAATTCAGTCTAAATATTTTGGAAAATGTAGTGAGTATAGAAAATTAAAATTTGAGTTGCAATAAAAATAACTTATATCCTTATTTTACACACGAATATCCAATTACGGTCAAACTTGTTAATTCAACGTCGTATGAATTAGCATTAATAACTGACTATTTTTCTAAGTTAGAAAACAAAATACGATACGAACATAGAAATATAGAATAAGTTGAAGTATATTTACTTTAAATATACCTATATTTAAAATTCAACAGTTGTGCTAATAATTTTGCAAATAAACAAAATAGGAAATAATTGAATGTATAGTCAACAAAAAAAGTTTATAGATTCACATGCAATTAAAAATTGTTTTCACGCATAAAGTATAATTTTTTTCATAATAAAAATAAAAATATCATTGAATTATACATTAAACAATTAATAATATTTTTTTTATTATTACCCAATATAACTACTCATTTTATAATATTATCATGACATTGACATATTATAATAATAATATATATATAAATATGAAGTTTAGAAATTTAGTTTTCTGAAGACTGTTCATCCGAATATGTAGTGTGTCTGACTGGTTTAGTCGAATGGTGGCATTTAAGCACAAATTTCAATTCCAGCTTGAATGCTTCCCACGGTGATAACTGCAAAAAGATTATTATAATAAACGATAGTACATTTTATACCATTCTATACTTAGTGACGTAATTTGGGGGGAGGGGGCAAGCCTTGCTGGGGGTTCCGCTTTCCACCGAAAAAAGTAAATAAATTATTTGAGATATTTCTTGAGAACCCCTGAATCCAAGTCCATCAAATAGTAATGATTAAAATGTACTCGCCTCGCCTTGTATCACAGACGACCGATATTAATCATATTTAAATATCAAATACATATAAAATTAAACGAATAGTGGGTATAAACAGAATAAATGTAAATATTTATAATTTAAAACATCACAAGTTTTCGTCAAAATAATACGATAAAAATTATATAAAAAGTACAAAATTCAAACATATTTTAACACATTCAATATTAACTATGTAAAAAAAATATAACCTTTGACGGAAAATGGTCCCGGTGATAACGGGCGAGGGTCTCTTTGGCGGAAAACGGATAAGCTTGACTTTCTCACAACCCCTAACTACTTTTAGACGACATCCCAATGCGTGTGGGTTGTTGGTGATAAAATATGGTTTTTTTTTTAATTTTGAGGAACTTGGTTTTTGTATGCATTCCAGAAGTACACATTGTTTAATAGTATAAACTGGTACAGTAAAAATTCTAAAACTATTAACTAATAGGTAACTAAGCTTCTATTAAAAGCTTTATCTGTGGTGAACTGATACTACAGAACCTCGAATATTTATTGATTTATTTTTTTTAAATTAACTCCAATCGGATTTTACAATGAGAATGACATAATAGAAATTAATAATTATACAACAAAAATAGCAACAAGATAAGTAAGAAATTAAACGTTATAGAATATTATTTAATATTTTTAACATTTTAAGTTGGCCTTATAGCAGACGTGTTTAGGATTGTAATATAATTTGTTTGGCTAAATTAAAAATTAAAAATGTCAAAATTGATGCTGGCTTTTTTTTTTATATTTTATTTGTCCCCACTAGACTTAAATGTGAAAAAAAAAATATGCAATTTATGACTATGACAATACATATAAAATAGCAATTGCGTTGGGATAAAAATATAATTGGAAATTACCTTGCGAGTGGTTTTTATCAGTTTTCAAAACTTTAGACCCTCCCCCCCCATTATAAACAGTTAAATGACACTACGGCAGAGCTTATACAAGTTATAATAGTTGCACATGATCAATATCTATAAAACTATGTAGATACCTATTAAAATGTTAATTATTGATCTCAAAAACTACAAATTGTCTATATAAGAAAATTCGACAAAGATATTATTATGAAATAAAAAAAATATATAAACAATTTTAATTTTAAATAATAAATAAAAGAAATTAACACGTTTAACTATTATAAAAAATAATGTTATTGCTATTACTTTTTCTGCGACTGCCACTTTTCGAATGTTCCATAAGAATTCCAATAGTGAGAATAGAAATCCTAACATACACCCCAAAATAAGAATGACAAACATCCCTCCCACTTCATTTACGTCTAGCTCTGCAGAATCTTTTTTAGGTATCTGAAACATTACCAATTTATATTAATATTTTTCAACATTATAATATTAATCTAATAACAAGTATTACTGGACACATTTTGTCTTCAGATACCGACCACCATTTGTCTTTTAGTTCCATTAGCTTCCCAGATTCGGAAAGTTTTAATAATGCCATACTGACTGCCGTTCTATGTGGAGCATCTGAAAATATATATTGTATAATCATAGATAAAGGGCACCATTAAATCAAAAAGTAAAATATTTACTATAATTAATTTTTCAAATTAAGATGTAACTCAACGTTAGACTATTACATATTTTAATTAAAGCAATGTGTCACTATTTTACTATAATAAGTTTATATAAACGATAAATTAAAGTATGGTGTAATGGTCATATATTTAAGTAGTAACATTTATGTAATGAAAAGTTAGGGAATTAATAATTAAAGCAATAGATATTTGGTTCAATTCTGATTATTATTTTATAACAAAAATAGTTTTAAGCTTACTTCAGTTTAAAATTAATTGGACATAAACTCACTAAAAGGCATTGCGATTCCATATGCTTTGTTATCCAACCAGGTTCCTACTTCTGTCAAATCACAATTTCTCTGGACTTCATACTCAATTGTACTGGACTCCATAAAAAAAGCGTAGGCTTCTCTTTCTTTTTTCACTCGGTCTACACCCTGTTTATTGTCATACATCATAACTGTGTCACCGTATGTTTCCATTACGCTATACATTTTTTGATAAAGGTTCACATCAGAGTTCTAAATCAAAAACATTAATACAACATCTAAAGAAATGAATAGTAACTGGAAAATATACAATAAATTTGATATAACCTCAAAAAACCCGGCAGTAGATTGCCCTCTAACGCATCCATATTTTATGGTCGACTGTTTGTCTAGATCCTCAACTCTTTTGATCGCAGACTCCTTTCGACTTGATGTTAAAAATGCGGTCCAATTAGCAGTGTATGACTGCGTTACGATTAATGCAAAAAACCACCACATCGACGCGCACACTCTTGTTGAAAAAGCTCTAGAACATTATTATTACAGCCATATATAGTCACATTTGTAACACAGAATTAAAATTATGTATTATTTGTCGGCAAAAAAGGGCTCAAATATTTTCCAAATTATTTTAATGATGGTGTAGTTAAATTGCCTATCTAAAACGCCGCGTGATTGAAATTTTAATTTTGGAAAATATGTATTACAATATTGTATTATGATCATGAGATACGGGGAAATAGAAGAATTTATGAATATTTCTTTTATTAATAAGAAAATATTATAAACCTGTACGTATGAGTAATTCAATAGAGCAACTTAGACTTTTTCATTTGGAGGAGGAAGGGAGGCCTAGTCAAGACATTTATTTCCAATAGATTGAATTTTTTTAAGATGATATTTTATAGATTGTACACATTTAAATATTATAGTACATTTTAGTTATTATTTATTACGTATATACAGTGCTTGAATTGAGTGGTAGTCCCATTTCTTGGTAGAAAATATTTATGCGTACCCCTTATATAATTATATCCAAATCAATAAGATATTTCAATATTCAGGTACGCTTTTACATCCCCTTTCTAATTTTTTCCCAATTCAAGCATCGCCTATAATATGTTGGTAAAATATAGTAGGTACTATAATAATATTATGCAAGGGAGATAGCCGGGAGCCCATATTGTGTACATATAATGTGTACCTATGTATAATAGTATACCACCTAACTATGTCATATATACAAATTTATTTTCCACTCAAGTTTTTTACTAAGTGAGGCCCAGTAATCTTTTTTAATATAAAAAAAAAAATAATTAATTAATATAACTTATTATAATATATTGGTAATTTGGTTTAAAGATTAATACCACTGCAATTTTATGTCCAATATGCACCTATGTTATCATTTGGATATTAATATAATATTATTTACCTTGGCAATACTTCACTCCCCTGGCATAATATAGACCCCAAAGAAAACCATAAACAATTTATTAAAGACAACGAGTTCTCGAGTTCTTCAGGCTCTGATGCACACGGATGAGGATTTTGCCACTCGTTAGGAGTAATCCTAAAAAAAAAAAAAAAATAATAATAATAGTTTGTACACAAAGTTTTGAACAATATAAGTTTTTTCATAATATGTTTGACGTTTGTTCAATGTTCATACTAACCTAGCTAAAATATAGAGAATAATTGATAGACCCAAGTATGCAGTCGCAGTATATATCCAAACATGAAACGATAAGGGTTGGGTGAAAGAGAATAAATTTGTTTCTGGTTCTTTTGGTTTACTGAACAAGATGCTGATTCCTATTATTTCAAGTTGATTATATTATTAAATAATCATCATTATTGGTTGCAACTTGCAACCATATTATTGGTTTAAAATCACCATGGTCGGTACATTTTAAAATTATTTATTAGCTAAGCGAACATTTCATATAATATATTATGTTAATATGTAATAAATTACCCAAATTCATGAAAGGAGTCGTAAAATCAACTGCTGTCCTCCTGTCGTGTGTGATGGTCAGATCACAAACAGCTAAGTCGGCTCTCTTGAAACAAAAAAAAACATTAGAATATTTGCTTAAAATGTCACTTAAATCTCAAATACATTATATTTAAAATACACATTGAATATTTTTTTGGTGAATGCATTATAATATTATATAGTAGGGAATCAAATATATTTTACAACTAAATTGCATTTAAATTATGTTGCTCATATATTCATGACTTTAAAAAAAACGTTTACTATAAAATATTAAAATAACAAATTATGATTACATACGAAGCAGACGTCAATGAATGCCGGTCAATAATATTTCAACGACTACAACGTCCACGACGCGAGCGGGGCTGTTCGATATTTCGCCATGTTTCGTAGCTAACGACTAGTCTTTTTACTTTTTTAATTGTTGGTTTTTTTGGAATATCTTTTTATTATATTTTAGTTTATTTTTAACCAAGTGTTACTTGTTTTCTTAACTCCTGCTTGGTTAGGTTTAGAATATGGTTTAGTTTAGAGTATTCTATCTCACGTGTGCGTACAGAGACGTTTGTAGCGGAAAAACACTTTTAAAGTAGTCAAGACCCTGTTATATACTAACTTTCTCATCCAGTACTCGTTATCGTGGTCAGCTGAGAAATAGTAAAACGTTGTCTATATAGGTTAAAGAGATCTCACTCTTGAACATACAATACTCGTTATAGCGGTCAGTTGTTCGATATTAAAGTAACCTTAGAATTGTACAGTGTAAATCCTGTTGGACCTTCTTTAATTATCCTTTTGTGCAGTACTCGTTATCGTGGTCACCAAAAGGAGAATTTAAATAAGCTTTTACAGCAGGTATCAATAATCTACTCGTTTGACGGTTTGGGAATAGGAAACCGAAATAATCGTTATATACACCAAACCTTTGAGTGGCGTACACGACAATTACTTTTGTTATATTATATTATTTAGTTAAATATATATACAAGTGTTATTTGGTTCGGTTCGAGATTCAAACCGTTCGACCCATCACTATTCACTAGTAATTATGTTATAGGACCGTATATTGAATAAATGAATAAATATACATACCTATAATAAAGGTATTTACATTTATATACATTTACTTAAATACTCAAGTAAGATTAATGCTGATGTATATTATTATACATTATAATAATTACCAGTTCATGAACTTCTCCGATAAGTCCGTCCCATTTACCAGTCTTCTTGTCTTTTTTGCCATTACCATCGTTCCGCAATTTGAACTCGTACGTGATATTGATCTCTTCCGAAATCATATGTATTAAATCAACCACGTATCCCTCGTACTTGTCATTGCCAACGCGATTTTTGTGATCTTCTTTCAACATCATGTACGGCTCTGTCTATGTAAATACAACGTTATCGATTAAATATTTCATTCCCGTACGACAGCCGGTATAATACCCGTAACTAACAATTTTTGATGCGACAATGAAAGTCTTGTTCATGTTTGCGTTCACCAGATCGTCCAGCATTTGATTCCTAGTCCTCGTGTACGACATTTCTTTTTGCGGATCCCAAACACCGATCTTCTTGAACCCCGTATTTGTCAACTCAACCATTTCCAATGTGAAATAACTCCTATACCCAGAATCTTGGTCGAATCGTAATTTGCCAGTGAGACCATCGGTTTCTACCTAAACACCGAATTTTATCTAGTCGTTGCAATGACTATAGGTAGTAGGTATATTTTGTAACACCTGATACCAATACGTCATCATAATAATAAAATATTAATAACAAATCCAATCTCGTACAGTCGTACCGTTTATCAATTGTTTTTTTTCATATTAACTGTATCAAAATATACCTATAGTAAATATAAATATTACCATTTATTAAAATATTTTTATTTTGTAACTTATAAATAAAAGCAGCTGAACTGTACAAAACCTAAACAATATATTATGCAGTGGATATATTAGGGGTACTCCCTGCACCACTTCGATATCATAAATATTTATACTCCAAAATATAATAAAGTTAATTTAAAATGTTTTTTTTTTAATTTAAGAAAAAATGATGTATAGAATAAAAAAATCTGGGAAGGTCACTCATTGAGTAAATCACTGTAATAGATGAATTAAATTTTAATTCAATGATAAATCATTGCATACAAAAACGATTCTGAACGAAGATAGTTTGTACTTTGTAGGTACTGGGTCAGACTATTTTTATAGAAACATTTTTATTTGGTCTTTATATCAAAATTAGTAATTTATTTTTCTATTAATAGAATGTTGTTATGAACTATTTTTGTACAAGAAAATCGCTTGTATAATATATTATATTTTATTATTTATTAGTTATACCTATTAATTATTTTAATTGTATACATCATTATATCATTGTTCATACCACGTACCCTAGAACTGAGTGAAAAAGTACTTGGTATAATATATTTCATAAATAGGTAGTATAAAATTAGTCAAAATATTTTTGAAATTTCATTGTGTATAGAAAATAATAATATACGTAAATACGTAATGGCAAAGAGTTTCAAGTTCCTTTTATTAATATTTTTTGAATTACAACAAACTATATTTTGTATTGTACTAATACTAAAATCATTATTATTTATTAGAATATCCAATTCAGTCTAAGTTATAAATTTAAATATCTATAAAAAAATCTATGTATTTTTGATATTTTTTGAATAGGTACTGTAAGAATAACTCATGAGAAACGTTGTATTCAATTTCCAAGATTTTTAACAAACAAACAAAAATTGAATCATATTTAATCGAAAAAAATTGAAAATTTTAAAAGTGCAGAAAATATTTTGAAAGTTTCAATTCTTTGCAGTTGTTTATGGTTTTTCTTGATTGTTTTGATAAAGACTGGAAATATTTTACATTTAATCTCCCAAAGTACCAATTAGATCCAATTTTCTATCAAAAACCACTATCAAAATTGATTATTGAAACATTTTTACTAAATCAAAATCATAGTATACCAATACATTCATCACATCTCCAAAAATTTAAAATTGTTTTTTCCTGATCAAATTTATCGTATCGGACACTCAATTATTGTGAAATCTAATAGTGACTTACGACTCTCATGAAGTTGATAAGACTAAATCCACTGGACCATCCAGTAATCGATCGATTTGCACAACTGTTCGGTTCGGCCTTGATGGCTTTTGTGCCACCAATACCACGCAACGCTTTAGCGTACACATTGACCGCATCAAACATCAATAACGCGTTAACCTGATTGTGTTTAGAAATTCGAAGAGATTAACAAATTTCGTTTTAATTTGTTTAACAATAAATAATAATAGTATATTACTGTAATAGTCTCTGCTCGAAATACTTCCATATTCAAATTCATTCTCTGTTGAACGAATTCAAGATCTGCCATTATACTAGTTACTGTTGGACTTGACGGATCTATTAATTTCACTGCAGTGATATTGGTACGTTTAAATTGTAAGTGACCATAATCTATAGTGTGTGCATCCTGAAGACGGTGTATAAATAAGAAATAACGCATCATCATTCATAAATATCAAATACACATTAAAAAAAAAAAAAATTTTATTTATCAGAAAAATGATAAAAAAAGTTATCTATCCCGCAAAGTTAAGCTAAATGTATTTTGAATATATAACTTGATAAAATAATCTATAGTATATATTATATACATAACCAACTAATATTTATATCGTATATGAACTAGGACTAGCTAATATTATGCACTAACGTATACAGTAAAATAAATATGAAACTACCTATATATTATGCAAACAAATAAATCTAAAATAGTTAAATATGTATACCTAATTTAAAACGTATATTTTAAAAACAATTTACACTGTAATTAAGTAACAAATGTACTTATAAAAAAATTACAAATTATGTTTCTAAAATATCACAAACTACGGTAAATTATTTAAGGAAATTAAAAATTATTATATTCAACTAATAGTCGCAATACTTAATGTTGTAGCTGAGAGATTTAAAGTAAAATAATGGTTAATAAGCTTTTAAATGCAATAACATCAAATTTTTTTTCAACTAACCAGAGAAGTAATAATAAAACTGTGGTAATCGTCCATTAGGCCTACATCTTCAGCTTGCCCCAATACAGTTAATATGATATCTGTATCACAATCCAAGACAATATGACTCTCCAGAGATTTTTTGACCTCTTTGAGCATAGGTCTGAAAAATCGTTTTGTCCAGAAATTAATTCAAACGCCAAATGGTGCGTAAATGAATTTTTCTAATTGCCTACCGGTAATCGTAATTTTTTGATAACTTTATGATAGTAATAGCCGATAATTCAGTATCCGATAATTTGGTCAGTCCAGAATAATCTTGGATTAAGTGCTGCAACCTTAACAGTCCTTCATCTCGCTGGTACAGCAGAGTAAAGGATGTCCAATCCATGTCGCGGACGATGGCCGTATACCCGCGACTGAGGACCACCGGATCCGGATAAACGTTTATGTAATAGTTCGGTTGTTGTATAGGGTTCATTTTCCAATGGGTTTCGATGTGAGGGATTTCCATAGAATCGCATATCGATTGGACTATGACCGATGACTCGTAGCCTGCGGGACCGAAAATAGCTCCGACGCCAGACTCGAGAGATTCGCATACTGTGCAGTGACGATGATAATGCAACGTATAACGAAAACATAAAAGAATCGATCCTTACATTATAATAGGTATTATCTACAATTTACAAAGGCAAAGATCCCTATAGGTTGCAAGATAGTACATCGACAAAATGCTGAACAAATTATAATTTTTTTTTTTCTGGACGTCAATGGTACACTCCGTCCACCTAACCCAACACAATGAATTTAATACACGACGTGCAAGATTATACCTTACACTATGTGTCATATTAAATATTGTATTATAATCTTTGCGGTCGGAATGGTAGCTTACCTATTTTGCTAGTCTGATAACCATCGTTGATGTCGACAATTTCTACTCGGCCTTCGAGTTTGACGTCGTTCGAAAGTGCCGGGTCCAAGTTGACTTTATGTATGGCCAGTTCAAAGGCCATTTGTTCTACCGAATCTTCGGACGGAAACAGACCCACTGGAGCACACAATATAATAACGATGACACGGACACGTGTAACGATACAACAATATTATATAATAGCATAGGTAACACTCGAATAGCCAGTACGATAAAAAAAATAAACAATACAACTAAAATAATTCGACTATAATGTAGGTACGTAATATACTCAATCGATGACTGACCGATGGTGATGCGTCCCACATCTTCCGCCGCACAGACCGCGAAACCGGACAACAGGAACAGGATCACTGCAGTAGCTGCGGATTGCATGTCGCGCGTGGAATTAATGAACGGATATAATGGCGGCTGCTCTCACATGCAGTAGGTGCATGATAATATCATACGGGATTATTAATTCCGTACATTATATTATATAGTACGCGTTTTCACGAGACACTCGCTAAACCGCTGAAAACCTATATTTAGATTGCGCACGCAAATCGTAATGGGCTGGCAGCCAGTGTCTATCCCGATGCGAAACAACCGCCGCAATGACCTATCTGCGATTATTGAGGAGGCAATCCGCAGCCGAGGCGTATTTATTGCACGCCACGACGTATATATTATTATTATTTTTTTTTCCCACCACCTATCGTGTGTGTTGTAGACGCGATACCGATCTTTGGCAGCCGGGTTAAAGGTTACAAGCGTGTCTGGAAAATAATAATAAACGCGACGACGGCGACTGTGCGGCTTATTTAGCACGCGAGCACACGACCTTTATATTGTTGTCTTTGGAAGTCGGGCCAAACAAATATTATAATGACCATCGTCGCATCGGCAGCGTCGGGATGAGTGTTTTTTTTATTTTTTCCTAACTGTCGTCGAATTTAACACGCGTCGTTGTTTACATAACGGTCGGTCTTCGGAGGTATACCGAAATAACGATCCAATTTTAAATGCGGCAGAACCGATTCTGCCGGCTATGTACCTATAACCAACTATTATCCTATGACTATAATACCACACTCAACCGTAATGTAAAAATTCAGATATAGCCGCAATAGAGTGTTATCATATTATAGGTAGGTAGGTAAAGGTAGGTAGGGTAGATTGCCTAAAGCAAAAAAAAATCGATTCGATTAACGAAAGAGAATAACTAGGTATAATAATAATATAAATATATAAATTAATAACACAATAATATAATATTATATATTATAGTCATTATTTAGTAGTTATATCCGATGAACTGTCTTCTACATGTCTCACTGGTTTGGATGTTCCGTGACACTTGAGCACGAATTTCAACTCCACCATGAATGCTTCCCATAGTGTTAACTACAATTAAAATTAACTATTTAAGTAGCAATTGTTTATTCAAGTATATTTGAAATAATTGAATAGATTTATACAGATAGGTAAAATATTTTGGTTGAAAATGTGTAATATAATATTAACAATATTAAGTATTAATATCAGTGCCAGGGCTCGGGACTTATAGCACTTAAAATCATTAAAATAAGCACTTAAAAAGCGCTTAAAAACATCATTATAAGCACTAAAATAAGCATTTAAAAAACTTAAATTTAAGCAAAAATATTTCATCAAAAAAAAAATTTCTTTTTACATGATAAAGTAGGTACTATAGAGTATAGACATAATTTGTATAACTGTGTTAAAAAATAATGATCAAGAAAAGTTTTTAACAAAAAATAAAAATAAATAAATAAATCTTTATATTATAAAAAAAATCAAACTTCACTTTCGAGACAATTCAAATTATTATTTATAGATTTTCCGAGGGATTTTCTGAAAATTAATATGTAAACGATATTTACAATTAGTTGAAAAAAAAAAATTAATTGAACATTACCATCATTATTGCATTAAATAATTTCATTTTAATTCTATCAAAAACAACTTTGCAGTATAAAACCATTAAAAAAGTAGAAAAACTGGTAAAAAAATCAAAAATAATCAGAAAAACTGGAAATAAGCATTTTATGGAAAATCTATGAAAAAAGCAAAAAAAAGCACTTCTAAATTTCATAACTGAACGTCTCGTAACACGACATACACTGCCATAGCACTCTGATACATTTTAAGCCAATCCATAAAAATAAGCAAATGCTTTAAGTCCCAAGCCCTAATTATCACTATTGCATTGTTAAAAACTCTTTTTCGTTTTATATTAAATTTACTTGATGGTTGTTAAAATATAAAAATAGAATTAAAAAAGAAAAAGAAAATACACTGAATACTGGCTGAATATGTTTAATCAAGAGTTAATAACCGTTAAATATAATATTATATAATATACCTAGGTACGTATTTAAATATTCTACACAGTTATCCCTGTATTATAAATTATAATGCGTTATACCTACTGAATATTATGAATAATTTAATTAATATCATATTATTACTATGCACAAATGTACAATACATCATTTGAAAACACAATTTGTTTAATCCAACTTAAATTAACTTTATTATAATTTCACGATTCATAAACGTGTATGATGGATCATGAAATTAAATGTTGTATACTATCTAGGTGTTATATCATAATAATAAACATTTGTAATTTGTATGTGTTCCAATTTATCTTAATATTTTTAACAAGTTATAAAATATTAGTAATAAAACATATTACAGATCTCATAACTATAACAACTCGTGTTATATAATTATTAAGTACATTACCTTTTCTTCAACGGCCACTTTTCTTATATTCCATAAGAATTCGAGTATAGAGAATAAAAATGCTATGAGACAGCCAAGTATTAAAATTACGAACATACCACCAACTTCATTGACATCAAGTTCAGCTGAGTCTTTCTTTAAATCCTAAAATATTAAAATGAATCCATTCAGTTTCATTGTTTCAATAACAATACTATTAGTTTATTATTATTAAAAGGGGGCTGGAGCGCAGGGACTGGAACCTCACCGAAAATAACAGGTTTTGGAACCGGAGCCCTATGAATATTGGGGACCGAAACCTCACCAAAACCCTTATTTAAATTAATTTTAATACCGGAACCTCACCGGAACCCTTATTTAAATTAATTTAAAAACCAGAACCTTACCGGAACCAATACTTTTACTTGACAAATTTTTTTTCATAATTAAAAAAAAAATCAGGTAACTATTTTTTATTTTTTAAAAACCGAAAAGAAACCGAAACCTAAATGTTAGTTTTTCTAGGAACCGAACCAGGACCGGAACCGAATTTTTAGTCTTTCTGGGAACCGATAGGAACCGAAACCGAAATTTTAGTTTTACTGGGAACCGAATATGAACCGGAACCATAAAAATCATCAAGGTTCCAGTCCCTGCAGTGGAGCGTAATCAATTCTAAGGAGTAAAAATTAGGCATTTTATATTTCAAGTTAAATGGGTCTTGTGAATGTGTTGAAAGTAAATGAACATTAGTGTGTGTAATTTGTAGTACCGATCACGTTGTGTAGGGGCATCATAATTATTCATAATACGTCTGTCATTTTACCTACGAGCATGCACATGTCACCAATTATTACTTTATAAAATTACAAATATTTTTTTCAAAAAATACTGCCAGTGAATTCAATCACTAGTCACTACACTCAGTAGGATGTTCCGATCTAAATTTTGAAAGCCGATTTGAATTCTCCTCTAAATTTACTATGCTTTGACTGTCTTACATTTTAGATTCTGAGTGAAACGATGAATGTATTGATTTTACAATGGTGTGTGTTTTTTTATTCTTTTTTTACTTTTTTTGTGTCTGTGTACACGATAAGTAGTCGAAATAATGCTTGGATTTTCAACTTCAGTATCTTGGTCGATTGGAAAGTGAATATCGTTGGTGCATTGGGGAGGTCAAAATTTAAATTTCCCAGTAGTTTTCAAAAGCGCCGGGAAAAACAAAAGAAAAATTAAGGAAAAACAGGAATTTTTACGCAAAATCGGTTTTCCAAAAAATCGATTTTGATTTTTGGTGTAACTTTAAAACAAATGACCGTAGATACATGAAATTTTCAGTGGTTGTTTATATTTTCATTTACTATACACGATAACATTTTAAAAATATTTTGATTTATATTGAACTGTTTAGGGACATTTTCAGTTTCCAATTTTATTAGTTTTTTTTTTTATGAATATCAATAAAAATTTATTTGTTGAGTAAAAATACTTGAAAATTTAATACAAGGCTCCTACTATATTGTTTCAAAGACAGATGAAAAATATTAAAAATCGTTAGTCACAGTTTTTTTTTTTAAGCATTTAAAGTTCAAAAAATGACAAAATATGGAAAAATCACGAAAATTTGCAAATTATTTTGAGTCTTTTTAAGCTGTTTACGGACATTTAAAGTTTTCAATTTTTTTAGTTTTTTTTTCTATAAATATCAATAATGTTTTATCTGTTGGGCCAAAAAATGTAAAAATTTAATACAAGTCTCCTGATATATTGTTACAATATCAGTTGAAAAATATTAAAAATACATAGGCACAATATTTTTTTATAAGCATTTAAAGATCGAATTTTGACAAAATTTATCAAATTTAAAATTTAATAATTTTTTGTAATTAATAATTTATAAAATATTCAACTTTTATAGCTAAGGATTGAAAATTTAAAACAACATTCCACATAAGTAGTTAATTCTATTACCAAAAAATCTAAAAAATATATAAGTACAGTTTTTTTTTTATAGTCATTTTAAGTTCAAATATGGACGAAATTACATAAAAAAACCTAGAAAAACTATTTTAGTTATTTTGTTGTGATTATATAATATTATTCGTGGGTACTTGAAACTTCTAAAGTGTTCTATTATATATCTATGCTACTATGAGTATCACGGTTTGTTGTTGATGTATAACGCGTTATAAGTACCTAATGGATATTGTGATATGATTAATTTGGAATTTATTATAGGTACCTACCATAGATATGTATATAATATGTCTCAAACCTAGACTGACATACCGTCTCTTCTCAGAATCGTTTTTCTTATACAATGATATTATATCATTAAATTCAAATTTAATACCATCCATTATAGTACTATACAGTGACCCACTTGTAACCTACTGTACAGCAGAGCACCTTTTTTTTTTCATGAAACAGTTGTTTAATATGTTTAAAAATGTATATTATATATAGCTACATAATAATTGATAGGTACATATTTGTATAATAAATGTAAGATGCAAAAAATTTACAAAGTCAAATTATATAAAACATTAAAACAATATATTTGATTATGTATGTTATCATTTATCATAGTTAAAAATGTTGTACCAACCTTACACCTTTTATCGTCAGATACTGACCAC